AACATCCAAGATGAAAGTGCACCACTGATGAATAAAGGCCACAAGGTGAGCTCCCACTGGGCCCGAACCCACCGGGTAGTCACTGGAACTGTTGGCGGTAAGAGATGGGAAGGAGAAGGATGGGAAACTGAAACAGGAAACACACTTCACCCTGACTGAGATAAACGGGAAACTATATGGGAAATAGCAGATTGTTGCTGGACAGATACCACCTGAGACTCTAAGGATTCTGGGACCATATCCAAGATGAAACGTCTTAAAACAGAGCCATACACAAATCCCATCGATAAGAAGCAGATATATGGATTCTAGATAAAACAGCATCAAAAAGGTCCCAACAACAACGATACCACGTTTGTAAAGCCAGAGAAGACAACGATAAACAAGCCAATGAGGAGGTATGGAGGGAGGTATTCCCAGAAAACCCACTCAGGATTTCTGTGAAGAGCCTCAGACAGAAGATGGATGTGGAAAGGTACCACAAAAAAGGTCTTGATGGTAAGATGGAAAAATTGGGCATGGGTGAGATTAACGAGAGATTCAGGGTCTGCTCCCAAAATGGGCAAAACTGAACCCAACAGCTGTTGGTTGAGATATGGACAGTCCACCCTATGAAATGTGAGGGCCGACTAATCCAAAGCCTGTGGGGAATGAGGCATACTTAAACCATCACCCAACGGCAAGGCAAATTGGTCAGTATGAACCAGAATGTCATGGGACGTGGGAAACACCAATTAGGATTGGAAAGTATATTCATGCAATAACAAAGATGAGAGTCATAACATATAGGAGCAAGGGATAAAACATCACATACCTAAGAAATAAAGTCTGAAAAAATGTGTATGGCTGAACAGAATCCTCAGGGAGGGTATGGAAAGGCATGGCAGAATCAAGAGGTGGAAACAGATGATCCAAGTCTTCGTCAAGATGAGGCTCCACAGGTTCAGGACGAAGAGGGGCAGTGTCTGGAGATAAAGCTTGACCCATATAATGTTCAATCTCACTGCGAATAAACGTAGACAAATCTCCTGTTGGGTCGCCAGCACCTGAAGCCTGTGGTATAGCGCCTGTCGATTGTGAGATAGCCAAAGTGGCAACATTAACTTCGGAATTGAAATAATGTAAAAAAAAACAAAACAAACTGAGTATATGAAATGAAATTAAACCACTTTGAGAAAATACGATCCCAAACATGAAACCAGACGAAAAAACAAAGACATCTGAATGCAACCACTGCCAAACAAGAAGTGATAGTTTGGTAGAGGCACATAGAGGGAGTCACATGCATGAGAGACATGTTGGAATCAGTTGATTCCAAAAGGGGGTGCAGAGGGCTTGTGGCATGCATAATAAAAAAGTTTGCATATAGAGGGCAGCAATAAACAAGAATAGTTAATCTTATGAAAGAAGGGAAGTACCGTATTGGAACAAATACTTGTCCTGAGTGTTTACATATGATTTTGTTTATACTTGCACCAAAGTGTTTCTAATATGGACTTCGACTCAAAAGTTAAGTTAAAAATCAAAGACATGATAAGTTGTAGCTTTACACATATATTGTTTTAAAAACAAACAAGATCTTTTTTGAAGCTCATCCATCTATCTGTTTAGTGAACAAAATGAAACAACATTTCTTACTCTCTATTCACAAAATTAGTTATATAAAAAAAACAATCAAACTTCCCTCAAAACATTTTGGTTTTTACTTTAAAACATTACCTCAGTCTTTTCTTTAACAAAAAAGAAAAGTAGCCATATTCATCCTTTCTTCCTTAATAAAAAACAAGAATAAGCAAATTAACCTTATTTTTTGCAGTATTTTTCTTTCTTTGCTAATAAGAAAGAAACCAACATCACTATTTTCGAGTGTTCCTTTCTTAATGAAACACAAACAAACAAACCTCTTCTTCCCAGCCCTCACTTGCTCCTGCTAAATGATAATGTTGTTTCCTTAAGGCTGCCAGTTTCATTCTTTCTTTCTGTAAGTCATTCTCCAGCTCCAACACACGGACCTGCTCAAACAAAATAATCTGTTTACTGAAACATAACCCCTAGAACATGAAATTGAGGACAATCACAACAGAAATTTACTTGAGGGCAGTTTAAGCCTGTCATCCAATAAAATGCTCTTGTTTCATTTCGAGAAATGTAAAGACCTAAATTGAAATTCATTCAATAAGAAAAATATTTTGATTTTGCACTACAGCTTTTCTAATGTTCAGCTAAATCTGTCTAGTTCTGTTTGCCAATTTAAGTATTTTATCATTGCTGACACTTTTTGACATTATCAGAAGGACACTTCTACAAAGCACATGGAAAGTAACTGCCACTCTTTACAATGGAAAATTAATACAAAATGAAACACACAAAGAGGTTTAATGACAGACTATATTTTTTGATGCAACTTTAACACTTTCTGATGTGGAGTTAAACTGTACTTAACACAAAGATTTCAACTGGAAGTCTCCTACCATTCAGAGTAACAAGTTAGTAATGCAAAGAAGTACGGAATATTTCCTATACTATAACATAGAGAAGTTTTGGTTTTGTTAAATAGTACAACTTTACCTGTGAATCCATCTCAAGTCTCTTGGCCCGATGAAGTGAGAGCTTTGAGAAATCCATCACCTCTACAGATAATAAATATGTTTTTATGATTATCACTTACTATCTCAATAGCTTGGAGTTACAAATCAACATTTTGAGAGTTTGAGTCATGTCTATGTTTTACACTTGTAGCAACAGAACATAATCTCAGATCATAACTGCAGCAACAGAACATAATCTCAGATCATAACTGCAGCAACAGAACATAATCTCAGATCATAACTGTAGCAACAGAACATAATCTCAGATCATAACTGTAGCAACAGAACATAATCTCAGATCATAACTGTAGTAACAGAACTATTATACACAACAATTGTATTAACTGAAGATTGTCATACACCACCGTAGTAGCAACAAAACACTATTATACACTACAACTGTAGTAACAGAACATTGTCATACACTAACGTAGTAACAACAGAACACTATTATACACTACAATTGTAGTAACAGAACATTGTCATACACTAATGTAGTAGCAACAAAACACTATTATACACTACAATTGTAGTAACAGAACATTGTCATACACTAATGTAGTAGCAACAGGACACTATTATACACTACAACTGTAGTAACAGAACATTGTCATACAATAATGTAGTAACAACAGAACACTATTATACACTACAATTGTAGTAACAGAACATTGTCACACACTAATGTAGTAGCAACAAAATGCTATTATACACTACAACTGTAGTAACAGAACATTGTCATACACTAATCTAGTAGCAATAGGACACTATTATACACTACAATTGTAGTAACAGAACATTTTCATACACTAATCGAGTAGCAACAGGACACTATTATACACTACAACTGTATTAACAGAACATTGTCATACACTAATGTAGTAGCAACAAAATTGTAGTGTATAATAGTGTTGTAGTAACAGAACATTGTCATACACTACAACTGTATTAACAGAACATTGTCATACACTACAACTGTATTAACAGAACATTGTCATACAATAATATAGTAGCAACAGAAAACTATTATAAACTATGACTGTAGTAGCAAAACATTGTCATACATCACTGTAGTAGCAACAGAATGCTATTATACCCATAAATGTAGCTAAAGAAGATTGTCATACACCATTCTAGTAACAACAGAACACTATTATAGACAACAATTGTAGTTAACAAAACATTGTCATACATCACTCTAGTTGCAACAGAATGCTATTATACCCATAAATGTAGCTAAAGAAGATTGTCATACACCATTCTAGTAACAACAGAACACTATTATAGACAACAATTGTAGTTAACAAAACATTGTCATACATCACTGTAGTAGCAACAGAACGCTATTATACCCATAAATGTAGCTAAAGAAGATTGTCATACACCATTCTAGTAACAACAGAACACTATTATAGACAACAATTGTAGTTAACAAAACATTGTCATACATCACTGTAGTAGTAACAGAACACTATTATAGACAATAATTGTAGTTAACAAAAAACTGTCATACATCACTGTAGTAGCAACAAAACACTATTATACATACAAATGTAGTAACAGTTATACTCATTACTAGGATGATTTTGAGTTTTGATCTAAGGAAGATTATTACATATCAAAGTTGTACCAACAGGACATTACCACACACCTTAGGGTAGCAATAGAACACTACCACACAATATCTTTGTAGCAACAGGATTACCACATACAAGATGTAGCAACACTAACACACAATACAGATGTAGCAACAGGATAATACCACACACTAGATGTAGCAAGAGAACATTACCACATATTACAGTTGTAACAACAGGACATTAAAATATATCACAGTTGTATCAACATTACCACACACCACAGATGTAGCAACAAGACATCACCCAATCACTACAATGTATGCAAATTGTTAATCGTTAAACTAAAAGGATATTAATAAAAATATTTTAAGATCTCACCAGATTCTTCAACCAACTCAGCACAACTCTTTGAAGTTGCAACAACATTTCCTGTGGCTTCACTGACACAACGAGAAGCTTTGGAAAGATTGGACAACTTTTCACTTCCTCGTTCTGCTTTCACTTTAGAGGCCACAACCAACTGGGCAGTAGCTGCTGCTATCTCCTGTGATGCTACCATCAGTTCTTCAAACTTACCTTTTCCACTGACCACTTTATCTGCTGCATCACTGAAAAAAATTTTTATGTTTCATGTCTGCACGATACAATACAATACTGGCGAACTGTTACTACAAATCAGAACTTTTACTGGGACAGTACTGTCTGAAAACATTATCTGTCCTCAGTAAACGTGCCAAAACAGTATATATAGTCTGAAAATTTTATCTCTACTTAGTAAATATTCTGGAACCATATACCGTCTGAAAACATTATCTGTCCTCAGTAAATGTGCCGAAACAGTATATAGTCTGAAAATTTTATCTCTACTTAGTAAATATTCTGGAACCATATACAGTCTGAAAACATTATCTGTCTTCAGTAAATGTGCCGAAACAGTATATAGTCTGAAAATTTTATCTCTACTTAGTAAATATTCTGGAACCATATACTGTCTGAAAACATTATTTGTCCTCAGTAGAAGTTCTGCAACAGTACAATGTCTGAAAACTTTATCTGTCCTTAGTAAATGTTCTGGAACAGTACACTGAAACTTTTTCTGTCCTAAGTAAAAGTTCTGGAATAGTATACTGTTTGAACTTTTTATCTGTCCTTTACTTAAAACATATGTCATTTAAATATTGTGAGTGACTTTCAGTTATTTAAAACTGTAAAAAAATTAACAATATTTAACAACACATGATTTATAAAATAGTGACATATTCTTTCTAAGATAACCTTAAAAACTTTATAATGTTAAAATGCTATACCTGAGAAATCATTATCTTGTTACAGGTAATAATATATTTTTCTAATAACACTGAAATATTTTATAAAAAATATTTAATTTTTCATTTAAAAATATAACACGATTAAAGGCCTGAGGTGAGGTAAAGCAGAAATTAATTTAATACAGGTTACAAAACAGAAGTACTTGCTATACTTAAAGAACCACAAAAAGTTTAAGACTCAGGAGTAAGATATGAGTAGCCGATTCTAACTTACACCAAGAATTTAGCAGCCATTCCCACCACTTTGGCTGCTGAGATCAACCCTTCTGTCCACCGGTGGTTTCTGCTGTAGAACTCTTTATCAGTAGCAGAGCCCTGAGAAATACACGAAGCTTTACACAGGCCTCTCTAAAAAAAACTGTACATCACCAATATGTTTAAAAATGTTGCTGTTAACTATGAACTCAGGATTCTGCTAACTAGAAACTCAGGATTCTGCTAACTACAAACTCAGAATTCTCCTAAGTTCAAACTCAGGATTCTGCTAACTAGGAACTCAGGATTCTGCTAACTACAAACTCAGAATTCTCCTAAGTTCAAACTCAGGATTCTCCTAAGTTCAAACTCAGGTTTCTGCTAACTAGGAAGTCAGGATTCTGTTAACTTCAAATTCAGGATTCTGCTAACTAGGAACTCGGGATTCTGTAACTATGCAGCTGCTTCTTCTAACTAAGCTATTATGTCTGAATTGTCATAAATCTCAGTTTCTGTAAATTTAAGGATGGAATTTGGCAAGACTCTGCATGTCATCATATCTTAAGTGTGCCATATTTATAACTCCATAATGTGTGTTAAGTACAGTAAAAGAGAAACACATCTAGACATTTATTGAAATAATTAAATTTTCACCAAAAACGTTCTAATATTGGTCAAATCTTCAGTGGCTGTAAGACTTCTTTATGCACTCAATTTGCAAATTCCATTAGTGTTAAAAGCTCCACACTAATTGTAAGGCAGCTATTTTCAACAGAAATATATAGTTAACCACATAGGCAACAAAGATATAAAAATGTGTTGCCTATTGGTTAACTATATATTTTCTTTTGAAAATATTTGCCTTACAATTAGTGTGAAGCTTTTAACACTAATGGAATTTGCATGTTGAGTGTATAAAGAAGTCTTACAGCCACTGAAGGTCTGGCCAATTTCAGAAAATAGTTAGCAAAATCCTGAGTTCCTATTTAGAGAGTTATTTATATTATCATGTGAAGATGATGACATTTTGAAGAGTTCTAGTTCTATACGTCCCCCTCTTCAAATAATAATATAAAAAACTTGGAGATTGTTTAATCTATTCTTTAATTTAAATATTTTCAAAAGCACAAAATTAAAAAATCTTTAATATGAGATCTGTTTTTGTTTAAATATTACCAAAACTCTCCTAAAACCACTATTTATGTACTCTTATGTCTAAAATAAACTATATTAAGTTTTTGGTTATTTTTTACAAAATTTTTGTGAAATGTAATTTTCTTTTCTTCAATTTGAATGTGAAAAAATTAATGATGTTGTGACTAATATCTTTAAGATGTGGTAACCTCACATCATGTTTTATATTCTCAAACACATCTACAACACACCATATGACTACAGATAATGCTTATTTACAAATGAGCAAAAAAGTATTTTTATTCATATACATATCTGAGAAGGAATAGTACATGCATACAGAAACTGTGATTTTATTAAGCAGCTTGTTCTATTCACAAAACAAACTTTTTCTTATTTTCAAAAATACTCTGTTTGTAATTTCTGTTTATTTTCCTACCATCTTTGTAATAAAAACTTCGGTTATTCAGATAGAAAACCATCTTCCCTAGTAGTTCTTCATGAAATCATCAGTAACACTTGATTGCTTACAATACTTCCTTAACAGTTCTTTATGGTTACTAATGATTTCATGAAGAACTATTAAGGAAGTATTGTAAGCAGTCAAGTGTTACTAATGATTTAACTTGACTGCTTACAATACTTCCTTAATAGTTCTTTATGAAATCATCAGTAACACTTGACTGCTTACAATACTTCCTTAATAGTTCTTCATGAAATCATTAGTAACACTTGACTGCTTACAATACTTCCTTAACAGTTCTTCATGAAATCATTAGTAACACTTGACTGATTACAATACTTCCTTAATAGTTCTTCATGAAATCATTAGTAACACTTGACTGTTTACAACACTTCCCTAGTAGTTCTTTATGAAATCATTAGTAACACTTGATTGCTTACAATACTTCCTTAACAGTTATTCATGAAATCATTAATAACACTTGACTGCTTACAATACTTCCTTAACAGTTCTTCATGAAATCATTAATAACACATGACTGCTTACAATACTTCCTTAACAGTTCTTCATGAAATCATCAGTAACACTTGACTGCTTACAATACTTCCTCAACAGTTCTTTATGAAATCATTAATAACACTTGACTGCTTACAATACTTCCTTAATAGTTCTTCATGAAATCATTAGTAACACTTGACTGTTTACAATACTTCCTTAACAGTTCTTCATGAAATCATTAGTAATACTTGACTGCTTACAATACTTCCTTAACAGTTCTTCATGAAATCATTAGTAACACTTGACTGACTTACAATACTTCCTTAACAGTTCTTTATGAAATCATTAGTAACACTTGACTGTTTACAATACTTCCTTAACAGTTCTTTATGAAATCATTAGTAACACTTGACTGTTTACAATACTTCCTTAACAGTTCTTCATGAAATCATTAGTAACACTTGACTGTTTACAATACTTCCTTAACAGTTCTTTATGAAATCATTAGTAACACTTGACTGTTTACAATACTTCCTTAACAGTTCTTTATGAAATCATTAGTAACACTTGACTGTTTACAATACTTCCCTAGTAGTTCTTTATGAAGTCGTTTGTAACATTTAATAATTTACCATAAACACTCCCTAAGAACTCACACTATTGTGGGCCTGAAACACTGCCACTAGTCTTACAAATTGCTCAACACTGTGGGCCTAAAACACTACAACTTGTTTCAAAAACTGCTTATCAAAATGTTTATTACAACAAATTACATTTTCCATGTAAATATAAAAGTTCATATTAAGTATCCAGAAATTTACCTTTCCTTGAGAAACAATTTCATTCTGAAGCTCTTTGGAACTCTTAACAAGGACTTTGATTGCCTATAATGACAAGAAAAGAAAGACAGCATCAAACATAATGACTAAACATTAAGAAATATGTGTTACAATGAATAATAATGAGGACTATAATAAAATTTATCTAACCCTCATCTGACAAAACTGTTATTATACTTATAATATATTATTATAAATGTTTTTGTGTTGTTGAAATCTTGGGATTTTTTAGAAAGCCCTATCAAATATCATTACATTGAAGTGTGCTAAATTCATTGAACTCTTCCATAAACTAGATTCTAACCAAAATAACAAATCTTGTTCTCATTGAACAGTTCCACACGTGGCTAAGGACTGAATTATATTTGTAGTTTCTTTATAGTTGAATTCAGTTACCAGTGAAATGCAGATGTACTAGAAATTCCTCAGTAATATAAGTCTCACTAAAAGTTTTACTAAAATACTTTACAGGTATGTGAATACTAATCTTTAAGACTCATGTAGCTGTGAAAGGGATAACAATTACTGAAATGACCTTCACAACACATTATGTTGCTTTTCTCAAAACCTTAATAACATAATTAGTCTTCATGCATCAAATTGATAACTACTTGTAAATGTTTAGAACTGAGAAACAAAAATAACTGATAATTAGAAATATATTAATGTATATTTAGGATGAAAAGACTTGCACATGAGAACAGGTAATGATCTCTGAAATTGTTTTCTATTGAGGAAAAAATAATAGTTAGAGGGGAATCTGATTGAGATGTTTAAGATTGTTAAACTAATTGGTAGCATTGATGCATCATCTTTTTTTCATATCTAATGGTGTGAAAAGTAGGACTAGGTGACACAAATATAAATTGTGACAGAGAAGAAGTCATCTTCAGTTAAGACAGCTTTATTTTTCTAACAAGCTGTCCCTTGGAATGGATTGTCTTCAGTTATGGTAGATTCAGTTAATTTAAGGGAAAGCTTCATAAAAACTTGAATAATAAGTGCTGACTTTGAGTTTTTATTTTTAAAGTTTGGTTTAGTAGATGGAATGGCTTAAGATGGACCAACAGGTCCCTTGTTGTCCTTTAATTATATGTATGTTAAACAGTTTAAGTCATTACCCCACGTTTCAGTATCACCATCCACTGTATAAACAGAAATTACTGATGCATATAGAAAAACTGCTACTGCTCACAAGTTATCCTTGTGTACAAACAAATTACTCCTGGTTGGAGGTTATCCCCTGTGTACAGACAAATTACTCCTGGTTGGAAGTTATCCCCTGTGTACAAACAAGTTGCTCCTGGTTGGAAGTTATCCCCTGTGTTCAGACAAATTACTCCTGGTTGGAGGTTATCCCCTGTGTACAAACAAGTTGCTCGTGGTTGGAAGTTATCCCCTGTGTACAGACAAATTGCTCCTGGTTGGAGGTTATCCCTTGTGTAGATGTACAGAGGTTGGGTACATTATTTTAAAATGATCTTGGAGATTCAACTTGTCATTACATTCCATGTTGCCATGTCTACTCATGCTCTAACAACCATGCATGTTGACAATAGCCATGCAGCACAGTTTCCATTGCAAAAGGCTACATCACAATACTGTCATGTTCAAAGTACACCGCTCTTCTTTGCATGTGTTTCACATTACATCTAGTGCATGAGTACAGTTTCTCAGTACTCATTTCAACAGTCTGATTCTACAGGCATACACAGGTACCAAGTCTGCCAACTTGACTGGTATGTTTTCATATGGAATAGCATGAATACCCATTTCAAATGTGATGTTTGAATTCATATGTAATGGAAGTAACTTGTGTTGTTTTTACAGACAAAGACTTTATTTGTTTATTTTGTGTAGTTGCATGGGACAGTGTAGAAGGCTTCTCCCACTGAACTTTGTGTTTGTGGAGTTTCACCTGTTACAAGGCGCTGCTCTTTGTTTATTATGTTTTAAGATAGAATTTGTTGTAAGTCACTTTCTGGATAGTCCTGGTACCCAAAGTTGATCCATATTTCTTTCCTTTCAATGACATTAAGTACAATGGATATCCCCAATCTGAGCACACATTTGTTATCTCGGTGTATGATTCGCATATTAAACATCATTTTAATATAATATACTCAATGTAGTGGTTCCATCAACACAAAGTTGGTAGTTCTATCAACAAAGATGTAGAAGTCCCATCATCATAAATTTAGTAGTTAGATCAACACAGGTGTACTAATTCTATCAACACAGATGAGCAGTCCCATCAAGACAAATGTAGTAGTACTATCAACATAGATGTAGTAGTTCCATCAATACAGATGTAGTAGTTATATCAACACAGATGTACTAATTCTATCAACACAGATGAGCAGTCCCATCAAGACAAATGTAGTAGTACTATCAACATAGATGTAGTAGTTCCATCAATACAGATGTAGTTGTTCCATCAATACAGATGTAGCAGTCCCATCAACACAGATGTAGTGGTTTTATCAACACAGATCTAGCAGTCCAATCAACACAGATGTAGTTGTTCCATCAATACAGATGCAGTAGTTATATCAAAGAGATGTAGCAGTCCAATCAACACAGATGTACAGTAAAACCTCGACATTAAAGGCACCGTTCCAACTGCATACAAATGCCCTCAATAGCAAGGTACCCAAAATATCAAAAATGAGCCACACAAAGCTGGATTCCATATGGACCATACTAAGTTTCTGAATTTTAAGTCTCCCTGTTTTGTTTGGTGTATGCACGACACGGAGGTTGCCATGATATGGAGCATTGTCAACAGGAGGTCTAAGGGGGTGGATTAGCTGTGCCTTTTTTTTCTTTATTATTGGTCAGCAGATTTCTACTGAAATGTTTGACAGTAAAATAAACATAGAAAATAAATGTGGAATGTTTAGCAGTTCAAACTCTGAAGATAAAGCATCAAATCACCACTTGTGTCATTAGACTGTTTACGTAACTCAGTAACACGATACTCTTGAAAGCAACATAGCACGTGCACAGAAATAAGCTGATTTGAGCCCTGCTCAAAGAACATGATGTGGATTTTATCAGCTTATGTATCCTACAGTGTTTACAATGAAAATTCCCCAGAGTAATAAGATTGCACTTTGAATCTGTGAAAACTTTTATTACAGTATATGGTTCAGAGCCAATACAATAAACGTTACAAATGTTTGAATATTGATCATCCTTCTGGGATGTTTGGAATTTAGTGGTATACTGTACAGGCATACAAAGATAACTGCCCATTTTATCGAGTGCCTGTATAGAGAACAAGACTAAAGACACTGCCTTTAATCCGAAAAATCAAGATGCCAGTTATTGCAAGATTTATTTTGGTTACAAATAACAAGAAAAAGAAAGGCACTGAAAAGTTGTAACCTTAACGGTGCTGTGCCCATTAATCAAGGTTCTAATGTAGTAATTCTATCAACACAAATGTAGCAGTCTATGGTTGTTTAATAAATAAATATGGAAGAGAAAAATCTTTGTAATGTCTTCAGTTGTCACCATTATCTACTACATTTATAAAAGACAAGACTTCGGTATACTGAGTTTCAAAATGCTTCCATTTCTAAACAATTCCAAGACTGAATACCACAAAATATGCCAAACATTCTTCTAAGTACTTCTGATCTTGGAAGGAAAAATCTGAAAACTTCTGTTAATGACTTTTATAATCTATAAGAAAATCATTAACTGTCAACTGTTTAAAAGAAGTTTAAACAATGGTTAGTATACTTACTGATTTAATGTGTTGTAAGGAACATTCATAGAACTTTATCAAAATTTAGAATTGTGTTCAAAGATGTCCTATCAATGTACTTTTAATAAATGCCACACCCAATTATATTCAATTGTTTGTTTTAGAACTTTAATGATAGCTAGAAAAAGGGTTATCTGCATACAGCCATCCCTTGTTTCGAACTGATAGACTTGAGTGAAGGCAGCTAGTTAGTAGCACCCACTGCTAACTCTTGTCTAAAAAAATAGTGGGATTTGACCATCACTCTTATAATGCACCCATGGCCCCAAAATGCTAGTTTCACTCATATGGAATTCTAAAATTTACAAAAATTACAATTTTTACAATGAAATGAATATGATTTCCAAAACATTATAAATAATCTTTAATTTGTCTTTCATTTAGACATTTGATAAACAGACCTTAAATTTAATCACCATATTTCATGTTCATGGAATAATTACAACTGTTGTCATAAATCTACAAAGAAATTAGATAAAAACATAAACATAATAATATAAAAAGTTACCTGCATGAGACCAATACAAGAATCAAGAATTTTCCCATTAACTTCAACTTTGATGCCAGTGTCTTCAGATCTGGTTCTGCTTATCAAGTCCTAAAATTAGAGATTAAATATCAGGTACGGTATTTTGTTATTAGGAACACTTTCAAGATACAGTAATCAACATAAATCTTTATCTCATTTCTGTAGACATAAATATATTTTTTACAAAATACAATAAAATGCTGTATTCCTCTTTGTAAATCTCTGATTTTTTGTTCTGAAATTAGACATCTTAAAAAAGTAGTAATGAGTTTATTTTTCTATATTATTTCTATAGACAAATATATCTTCATTCTAAAAAAAAATTTGAATCCAAACTTTCTCAACATAGCATATAGGGTGATGTCAACAATCTTTATCAAGAAAACAAGGTTGATAGCTCCTTCTTCCACCATTAATAGTGTTTTCTGTGACATGTTTTCCAACATCAATCAGCAACTTAAAGGGAGATGTCTGTGAATGATTTAGCATGCATTTTGTGGAAGAACTGAAATTTTGCAGAGAAACTAGCATGTTGGCTTAGATAAATGTCAACATGTGTAATCTTGATGTTATCATACACGTAGTCTGCACAAAGAAGGTATTTCCTTAAAGTATAGTAGCATCGGTATGTTAATCTAATATACAGAGTTCGACTTATCTATCTGGACTCTCCGGATGTTTAACTTACTTTATAGCTTTAATTAGCAATCATGAAACTGTGCTAAGTTTGAGATATTTTATTTCATTACAGGTTGTCAATGTTCACATCACAATCTTTTACAGAGTTAAATTCAAAATTTAATTAAAATACTTTATTATCAATGTATACCACAAATAAACTTGCCATCAAAACATAGTTAATAAATAAAATTTTAATATTATACAAGTTTCAAGTTCATAATTTTAAATGGAAATATTTAAATAAATCTTCAATCTCTCCTAGTATATCAATTATGAGATTTGTTCTCAGAGAAAATTTATTTACCATCCTTCTCTGAAGTATGGAGTTTAACATAAATTAATCAATACTGTATAGATATTACTAAGGCATAGTCCAATTTTTATAGCCTTCAATTTTATTTGTTTAATGAGGCACAAACTAGAAAATCAGACCAACTTGCCACACCTACCTATCACATCCTCTAATTCACAAATTGCCAGTAATTCTCTCTCTGATGCTTACTATCCCATCATTTATAACCACTAAAAAGACACAGTTTTAATTTAATGAATGGCGTATCATATTACACTGTTCTCAGATCAAGTAGCTGAGAGAATTATTTTGAGGTAGTTATGGCTTAGTTAGAAAGCCAGTTTACTCTTTCAGCACGGGCTTGGTCCCTGGGACCGACCTCGTAACCATTTTATGCTTGTTATAGTTTTCATGCTATGACTTTTAAATTAGTAAACATATGCTAAGGAAATTTGGCAGATTATCAGTAATCATAACATTGCTTTCATACACAAAATATCAATGTTTTTTATTAAGTCTTAAGGTTCATAAAGCAATGTTTTTCTCATGCCTTTTTATTCTTTTCCCACATTGCCTACCTAATATGCAAAGTAATTTTCATTTTAAGATTAAAAATACTTTTATGCATTAGAAAATTTTCAAATTTCACATGCAAAATCTTTATAATGTCCAGATAGTTATCAAACGTTTCTTAACTTTATATTTTATCTGTTATTTTCAGTAATTAATCTCTATACAAGATCGGTCAAAT